CAATCCTTTTCTATCAAAACTCACTCTCTTGTTGATTTCATCCAGCCTCAAGCTTTAAGTTCCTCCTCTCTGCCGACGACTTCCAAAGTTGTATCTCTGGTCCTGATCTCCCTCCTGACCTCCAGCCTCAGAGATCCAACTGTCCCCTTGACAATTCCATTTGGCTTTCTAGTAGACATTTCAATCTTAATACGTCCAAGAATGAATTCTTAATTTTGTGCTGCAAACTTGCTCTTCCTGGAGCATTTTCCATCTCAGCAATAGCAGCCCCATCCATCCCATTGCTCAGGCCAAAATCTTCAGCATCATCCTTGTCTTGTCTCGCTCACATCCAATCCAATCCCTCGTAAACCCTGTTGGCTGTACCTTCAATGTACATCCAGAATCCCATATCTTCTCACCACCTACACTGGTCCAAGTTGCCGTCACCTCTTGCCTGCACGATTCAGTTGCCTCCTCACTGATCTGTCTACTTCCAATCTTGCCTCCTACAGTCTATTTTCAACATGGTGGCCAACAAGTCATCCTTTAAAAATATAAGTTGGGTGATGTCAGTCTTCTCCTCCGTATCTCACTCAGAGTACAATTGAAAACCTTTCAACAGCTACAAAGTCCCATGTGATCTGGCTTCTGGTACCTCTTGTGACCTCCTTGCACACTCTCCCCCTCACTTACTCCTCTCTTCACCCACACCGACTTCCTTGCTACTGATCAAACACGACAAACACACTATGCCTCAGGACTTTTGCACCTGCTGTTCCCTCTGCCTGGAACATTCTTCCTCCAGCTTAGTGGTTCTCCAAGTGTGGTTCCTGAACCAGCAGCATCAGCATCACCTTGGAATTTGTTAAAAACACAAGCATTTCTAATAGCCCAGACCTGCTGAATCAGAAACCCTGAGGGGAGGGGCAGTAATCTGTGTTTCAACAAGCCCTCCAGGTAATGTGGATGCACAAGAAAATAAGAAAAGCATTGTTTCGCATAGCTTCTTGGTTCACTCCCTTGGTTCCTCCAGATCTTTGTTCAAATGGCCTCTTATAAAAAGAGAGGCCTTCCTTGATCCCTCTATCTAAAATAGCACTCCTCCAATATAACTCCCAGCTCCCTTATTCTTCACAGCACTTACACCACAGGGCATATAGTACATTGGCTTGTTTCTTGCTTTCCTGTCTCTCTCCCTGCTCTATACGCAGCCTTCCTAAGCACTCCAGTGCCTGGAACAGTGTCTGGCACAGAGTAGGTAACTCAAATATTGGGGCCTGAATGAACCCTCTCAATGCTCAGAAGGGAACTTGGGGCCCAGAGAGGGGAAGGGACTCGCCCAAGGTCGCGGGAGCCAGGCCTCCTGACTGTCAGCTGCAGGACCTGCTCCGCTCCATTAGGCTCAGCGTGGCTGGCGCGCCCCTCCTCAAGAGTGTGGCTCATTGGAGGCCCCCCGGCACACTTCCCTTCGCTTTTAAGCTGTGAGTGGTTTAATTTGCGAACGCTGCTGCCTTTCATGTCCCAAGCTGCGTCCCCGCTCCCTCAGATCTCCGCAGCCTCCCAGACCCTGCTGCCGCGTGTCGGCCCCGCCCCCTCAGCCCAGATCAGGAGGCTCAGTAATTGTGACTGATTTTTCAAAGCCGCCCGGAGTCCCCGCAAGCACCCGGGTGTCGGATTTGCTTCCCCTTCAAAAAGTTGCTCAGATGAAGTAAACTAATTTGATTTCTGCTTTCTCCCTCCCCCTCCTGGGGTCCCCAGCTTGTACACGTTGAGTCTCCCTGCCTGACCTTTTCCTGAGTGGAATGTCAGCATCCGGGCTGGGAGAGGGAGGTGAGGCTGGGGCTCCTTAGGCGGATACCCATGCAGCTGGGGGCCAGCTCTGCCTCCGACTCTCTGGGTGACCTTGAACGAGTCTTGCCCTCCTCTTGGTCTCAATTCCCCTGTGTGTGACACAAGGACCCTTGCCACTCCACCAGTCTGGGAGCCAATCCCAGAGACTTGCTGGTCACTGACTTGCTATGTAATTGTGGGTACATCCCTCTCTGAGCCTCGGTGTTCCCATCTGTTCAATGGGGATGCTACCAGCAGTCCTGCCACCTCTCGGAGTTGAAGTGAGAGTGAAGCAGAGATGGACGAGCCACCTGGTGGATATGGGGCTGAACCTCCCTCGGGAGCCCCCTGCCCCATCTCCATCCTCCACACTGCAGCAGAGGGAGCTTTCTAAAATGCAAGTCTGCCCATGTCACTTCCTCACTTAAGCCTTTCCCAGGCTACGTCCTTCGGATATGACTCCTGCTTCTTCCTCCAGCCTCATCTCTTGCCACCTTTCTGGTCTTTTCCATGTGGAAACATGCAGGCCCGTTTTGGGTGAAGAGACACAGGGCCATGTCTTCTTAGGCCAGAGTTTGAGTCCCAGAGTGGGGGCTGCTGAACCTGGGAAGTCAGGAGCTTGAGCTCCCTCTGACTTGCTGTGTGACCGTGGGCACATCACTGCTCCTCTGAGCCTCAGTTTCCCCACTTGCAAAATTGATTTCTAAGTATTTGCCGAGCTCTTAGAATCCATGGGTCTTTGCCACTGACAACTTCCAAATTTATCTCTCCAGCCCAGACCTTTCCATTGAACCTGTATATTGAACTACTTTTTTCAAGGTCTCCACTTGGCTTTCTAATAAGTACTTCCAACTTAGCACGTCTGAAACCAAACACCTGATTTCCCTCCATCCCCCAAATCTGCTCCTCCCACTACTTCTCCCATCTCAGTCAATGGAAATTCCATTTATTTAATTGCCCAGGTCAAAATCTTGGTAGTCATCCTTGAATTTTCTTTCTCTCACACCCCTCATCCAAACCATTAGCAAATGCTTTCAGCTCTACTTTCAAAATAGATCTAAAAGTCGACCTCTTTTCAATACCCTTGCTGGTACCACCTCGTTCCAAGCCACCGTCATTTCCTGCCTAGTAATTGCAACATCGCCCTCAATGGACAATCTGCTTCTGCCCTTGCCCCTCCCCCGCATCTAATCTTCACAGAACAGCCAACTGATCCTGTTAAAACTAAGTCAGATCATGTCACTCTTCTGAACAAGCCCCTTCACTGACTTCCCACCTTGCTCAGCATAAAAGGCAAAGCCCTGACTATGGTCTACATGGCTGCACAGTCTGCTCGCCTCTCCACTTATCCTCAGGGCCTTTGCACATACTGTTCCCTCTGCCTGGAATGCTCTTCCCCCAGGGCCCATGCCCTTCGGGTCTCTGCTTTAATGTTACCTCCTCAAAGAAGCCTTCCCAGACCAATGATCTGTTCATTTACTTGCTTCCTGCCTGTCTTCCTCAGCCGGACATGCCCTCCATGAGAGCAAGGAGGCTTGTGTGCCTTTTCCCTGCTGTGTCCCCACTGCCTAGAACATGGTAGGTCCTCATACGTAGTTGTTAGACTATGCAAATAGACACATTGCATGTCACGTGCATGCACAGGCCTTAAGTGCTGTTCAGCTGGCCATGCATGTGCACACGCGTGTGTGAATGCATATGCCCACCAGGCATACATGTGGACGCGTGTGTGTGTGTGTCTACATCAGCTCAAACCCATATTCACACCCTCACTGTTCCCTGTTTCCCACCATCCCTTTGTACCCACTCTTTTCTCTGGTCCACTTCCTCCTCTTCCGTTACTGGCTGCCTGCTCATTGCCCACCAATCTGCCCGATTTAGCCCAATCTGGGGAAGCTGGGCTGACTGCGCCCTCTGCCAAGAACCTAAATACCCCTGGCTTCTGACACGCAGCTGAGTGCTGGAAGGCCCACAGAGAGGCAGCGCCGAGGCCTTGGCCACAGAGCGTCAGCAATGGAACGTGGTGTCTAGGACCTGGGGCCACTGCTCCCTGTCCAGCCTGGCTTGCAGGTGACCTAGGCTAACACGGTGGAAGGAGATGGCAGCTACTGGCTATGCCCCTCACCCCACGACTCCAGCTTCTACCAGGAGCCCCAGGCTGAGTGGGGCCTTGATGGTCAGACAACAGTCTGTGGGCCCCACAGTAGGAGAGGGAAGATCCATCCAATCTTGAGCTTCAGTGTCCCGCTGCTGTGCAAATGTGAGTTTCTGAATACGGGAGGTCTGAGGTCTTCTAGCAGAGGGGTGTTTCGGTGTGTGTGTTCCCTTTTCTACGTGTACAACTGTGTGTGCCCAGTGCCTCTGGGTGTTTGCAGCCACGCCCGGTACGTGCAGCTGAATCTCTGTCTGGGGGCTCAGCCATCTCTGTGAACCTGTGACCCCAGGGGGCCGGGTCTTGGTATGCCAGGCTTCCTGTGGGTGGGGAATGATGGTCTGGATGTTGTTGCGTCTGGCTGTGTCCAGGCCTGGCTGTGGCTACACTTGGGGGGAGCCCTGCTCCAGGATGGTAACGTCTGGTTGTGGCTTCTGCCTGCGTCTATGCAGGTGGCTGTGTCTGCCCCTGAGCTCCACCTGTGTGAGGGGCTGTTTCCTGGGTCGGGTTGTATGTGGCTGTCAGCTGTGAGGCTGTGTCTGGTTGTGTGGTTGGGCCTTGTTTCAGCTGCGTCTCACTCTGGTTATTTCTGGTTGTAGGTGTGCCCGTGGTCAGTTGTGTCTGCGCCTGTGTGGGGTTTGTAGCCAAGGGCTGTGCTGTGTCTGTGTGTGTGACTGTCCCGATGTCGCCTGTGCATGGAGCCAGGCCTGAGTGGGCCTGCGTACAGGTGGACAGCTGAGCTTGTAAGGGGGGCTGGGCCTGTGTGTGTGACTGCGTGTGGGTGTATGGCCACGTCCAAGTGTGTCGCTGTGTCCACATGTAGGCCATGCCCACGTGGGGACTGTGTCCATGTATGTGCCTGAGGTCACGCGTGTGCCTTTGTCCAGGTGTGCGGCTCCCACTGTGTTCAGGACTATGCCTGCGACAGTTCCTGTCTCTCCGGCCCCTCCCCAGAGCATCAGCCACTCCCCACAGCAGGCTCCCACTCAGAACTGGGCAGCTCCCCCCCAACCCCGGCTCACCCCCCGCAGCCCACCTGTGGGTGAGAGCTCGGCCACGCTGCCAATGTAGGGGCCGTGGAGGAAGCGAGGCTCGCTGTCGTTGATGTCCTGCACCTTGATGATGAATTCTGACTCGGGTTCCAGCAGGCGGTTGGTGGCGCGGTCCCGAGCCTGTGCCCGCAGCGTGTAGAAGGTTTTCTGCTCGCGGTCCAGGCGCTCCATGGCGTGGATGTCGCCCGTCAGCTCGTCAATCAGGAAGATGGTCCCAGCGCCCTCGCCTGAGATGGTGTACTTGATGGCCCCGTCACCCTCGTCTGAGTCCGAGTGGATCTGGGGAGGCAGGAGGAAGGCACGGGGGAGGTTGGGTAGAACTCCTCTCGGCCTCCCCCTCGAGTCCGACTGGGGGCCTGTTCCTAAGCACATCTCTCCTTCGACATACCTATCCTTCAGTGAAGACACTGCAGCCCAGGAAGCCATGCTCACCCTAGTCCCAGGCCTCACTGTCTGGCCTGGAGTGTTTCACCAGCCCTCCACGGCCCTCCCTGCTCCAGCCCTGCCCCTGTCACCTGCCTTCCCTGCTACAGCCAGAGCTATCAGCTCAGAGGCAGATCTGAACACAGCCTCCCCTGCTTGCAACTGTTCCACGGCTCCCCACTGTCTTTACAAAGATGCCCAAAGCCACCTCCACACCTCCCTGCGCCTGCTTCGAGCACCCTGCCCTATTTCTCTGCCAACTGAAAGTCTACTCATCCCACAAGGCTCAGTCAGTTCAAATGCCACCTCTTCCCGAAAGCTTTTCTGGACACAACCCGCCCCCCCCCATTCCCCTCCAAGATCTCTGCCATACATTAAGCCATGATTATCATGTTCAGCTTGGAGGACTGCTGTACCCAGCGCTTCCCAAACCTCAATGTGCATGCAAATCACCTGAGGATCTTGTTAAAATGCAGATTCTGACTCAGTAGGTCTGGGGTGGGGTTCTCAGAGTTTGCATTTCTAACAGGCTTCCAAACTGCTGTCCATGACCTCATTCTGAGTTATAGGTCCAGGCTCCCTAGGCTCTGAGCCCCCAGGGGCTGGTATTTTACTCATCTCAGCATCTGCAGAGCCAGCCTCAGAGCTTGGCACATGGCGGGGACGGGGAGTGAAGGGAGAGAGGAGGAAGGGAATGCAGACTGCAGGAGCACCTACTCCGCGCCTGGCAACGTGCTAAGCAATTTACACATTTAGTTCAGGGCTCTTAAAAAAAGTCTACTAGAGTAGGTTTTGCTATCCTCATTTTGCAGATTTTTTTTTCATTTTCCTACTGAGGATTAGAGAAGTGGGATGATTTGCTCAAGGTCAGACCCCTGGAGGAACTGGCCTGGTCCACAGCCTGGGCCTTCTCACTCCATCCTCAAGCCTCCAGGGAGGAGGGAGGAGCTCATGGGGAGGAAGAGGCAGCACAGCCTGGCCGTAGCTGCAGTATCTTCTTCCTGCGCGTCCTTGCACAAGCCACTGGACCTCTCCGGGCCTCAGTCACCTCCTCTGTAACACGTGGATCCTAGAGGTGTTGGGAGGCTGAGCTGAAGGGCCACATAAGGCCCTCAGCACCTGCCTGGCACCATGTGACACTTACAACATTTAGCAGCCAGCATGGCAGGGGTACTGCCCATGGACGGTACTGCAGCAGGGCCCCTGCTGGGCTAGGCAGGGACCCTTAGGTTGCTGGATCAGGGAGAGGCCCGAGGGGCTGAGGGAGTCGAGGAGAGGAGAGGAGAGGGACTATTACCGCAGCTAGAGATCTTTTCCACTGTTTTAACAACCGGTACAACTACACCAGTATGTATTAGCTGAAAATCAGCCTGCCTGAGACATGATAAGTGTCCAATAAATGGTACTTTCGTTATTATTCTATTATTACTAAATGTTAGCTATATATAACTGGGATTTAATCCAGGCACTGTTAGGCTTCAGATCCATCCCAGGCTGTTTTCACTGCACTGAGATCTCCGGGCAAGGAACCAGCGAGAAGACTGTTCTCCCAAACAGAAACACCCAAGTCCTTATCTTTCAATGCCCGAGTCTCAGAGGCAGCACTGAGCAGAGGAAAATGCATCCGATGAAGCGGGTGACCTCGGGAGGGTCTCTGCTTCTCCCTAAGCTTCTGCAGAGATGGGGTGTGAATGAGAAAATCCCGAAGGCCTCTTTCAGGCCAGGAAGCTGCATCCCCCAGCTCACTCAGCAGGATAACAGGTGCCAATGAAGTCATCACGAAGTGGGACGAAAGCCCACCCCCAGCCACGCGGGAGGAGCCCGGGTATAAATTCTGCTGGTGGAACTTTGTGTCTGAAAGGTGGATTATAGAAGTGCCATTTGGAAGATTGAATGGCCCATAAACATTTTCATATTTCATTAGCCGATTAATGGGCATCTCTCTCTTTTTGGCGAGTCTGCTGATTCTCAGCAGAAATTGCGGGGAGTAAATGGAAGCGGCTGGTGGAACCTTTCTGGGTCCCCGTCCTGTTATAGATTGCCCCAATTAATGCCCGTCCTGGGCTCCACAGAGAAGCCTTCTTCCTGTCCAGTTACTGTTAATAGATTTCTCATAAGTGGCTGGATTGTAAAAACCTCATAACTCAGTTTAATGCCCCCAATAAAATTATCTCAGGACGTCGGCCCTGAATCATTGGCAGTGCTGGGGATGAGGAGTCCTGTCTCTCCTGTTTGCTCTTTGTGCTTTTCCTCCACCTTGGCCCAGGGGAGATGGGGACAGGAGAGGGTGGATACGTTCCCTTTTAGGGAGCCTCCACCCACTTCCCAGTCAGACCTGTTGTCTGCTTATTTAATCAGCAAACATTTCTGAGCAGCATGGCAGAACAGATACCATTTGGGGGATGCTTAACAGCTATCATCTTATTGTTTTATCACTGCCATATGAAACATTATTATTCTTCCTATTTCTCAGATAAGAAAATTGAGGCACAGAGAGGGCAAATCATTCGCTTTGTCACACAGCTAAGTGCGGGAAGCCAAGCTCCTGATCCCACCACTCATCACTAATGCTGTGACCACCGGCTTGTTAATTTTACCTCTCGGAGTCTGTTTTTCCACCTGCGAAATCAGCTTAAGCCCTACCTGGCACAGGTGCGGTGAGGATTAAATGAGAGCATGTTTGTAATGACCTAAGCACTCCGTAAATGGTTGTTTCCTTCCCTTTCTGTCTCCTGGGTCTCCATCCTGTCCCTGCAGCCCTCGACAGTTTAACTGAGACCCCGGACAGGGACCACTTATGAGTGAGGAGTGCGTAGGAGGGAGTGGAACCCAGTGCTGATGTCATCGATGTTCTTCAGTGAAGGACACAGAGCTCACGCTGGGGCCCAGTGGCTACTCTCTGGGGACTGCAGAGTCAGACAAGGCTGCTTGGCCTGGGCAGGAGCTGAGAGCTCAGAGCTTGGGATTTGGTCTGTCTGCCTTGTCTGCCTGGGTCCTGGCTCCGGAGTGGAGAGGGGGTGTCTGTGGCTCTACCTCAGGAAGATGTTTCTCAAGACCCTCACCATGAGTGGGGGCTGGAGGATGGTGCTCTCCTTTACTGAGTGCCTACTATGTGTCAGACATGCGTTGTAGGCCTCTGCAGAAATCTAATTTAACTTTGTGGCATATGTAAATGTATCCCCACTTTCCAGGTGAAGAGACTGAGATGGGCCCAGGTCTGCTTGACTCCAATGTACAGGTTGGTCCCTCTGCAGCCTCTGGAATCTGGTTAGTCCACTTACAATGTTTCTGGCTAAGGAAGAGGGAGAAAGGAGGAGGCAGTGGGCTGCAGGGCAGTCACTGGGCTGCCCAACTGTGGGGGAGGCCTGGACACCAGTCTTCTGCCCTGTACTTACAGGTCACAGTCATTGGTGGCCTCCTCAATCTGAGCCTCTATTCCATCATTCAGAAAAAGACTTCAAATCACAAATCAGGAGAGATGACAGATTCAGGAACAGCCAGGCACCAGCTTCAGCTCTGTCATTGACCTGTTGCACAGCCCTGGGCAAGAGGCTGCCCTTCTATGAGCCTTAGTTTTCTCATCTGTAAATTGGACTGGTATTACTACCCACAGTTCTGAAGTCATAAGATAATATGTGGCTGCTCCTGGCACATAGTAGGTCTTCAGTGCAGATTACCTCCCTCTCCTTTTCCCGCCCTGGTCTTGGGGGGGATTGAGGGCCAGCTGGTGCATCCCCCCATCTCCTAACACAAGAACCACAGGCTCGAATCCTGGCTCACTGGAGATCCAGGGGCCATGATCCAATCCCTTCTCGTCTTTTACACTCAGCTTGTTTCTTCCTTCAGGCAGCTCTCTCAGATGCCCTCCCATTTGGTTGAAGAGCCCCCATCCTGCTCTGCACCCCTGCCCCATGCACACTCCCCTCTGCTCCACACTCCGTGACACTGCAGTGTTGCACATCTGTCCCTCCAGCTGTCATGGGCCTCAGGGGAGTGGACTAATTTTGATTCATCTCTGTATGAACTCCCCATGCCTTGCACACACTAGGTGCTCTGACAATGTGCGCAGAGAAAATACACGGGGGGTGGGAGAGAGTCGAGTGTGTGTGTGTGCGTGTGTGTGTGTGTGTGCGCGCGTGTACATGTGACAGTGTGAGGTTTTGAGCTCCTTGAGGGTCAAGCATGTGGCTTCGTTTCCATCTCCCCAGCACCCTGCACAGGGCACAGCACCAAATATACTGAATAAATGAATAATGAAATACACAACTGTCATTGGAATTCCCCAAGTGTCTTCTGGAATTTCTGGAGGATCCAGTCACTCTGTTAAATCTCAGGTACACGTGAGCTAGACTAGGGAGGAGAGGCCCTGGGCATACTTCTAGACCCTCATGGATATCTCATAATGATCCTGAGAATCAGAGATTATTCTCTCCCCCGTTGTACAGATTGGCAAACTGAGGCTCAGAGAGGGCCCATATCCTACCTAAAGTCACACAACTAATAAGCAGCAGCCCTGAGGCCTCTCTGACTCCTCATCTTGGGTTCTTTCCATCGCATCAAGTGTGGACGGCCCGGGAGGAGATTCCCCCTCCCCACACCCCAGCCCTGGATCATAAACAACGTGAGAAACATAAGAGTGATGGCTTCTCATCCCGGGGGGCTGAAAAATGGGATTTACGAGGCCATTAATTACTTCTTCCTAATTAAATCAAAATTAAATGCGTGCAGAGGTACGTTTTCCTTATTAAAGACAATTAAACGGACAGTGCGGCTACGCAAATAAAACGCGTCCTGGATTTAAACGGAAAGCAAATCAAATAAAGAGGCTCCCCCAGAATAAAGGGTCCGTTCACGCCTGCGCTACTCGTAAACCGGAGTTCATCAATTTTCTTTAAATATTAGCAACTTAATTAAATCTGCTCTCCTCCCCACTTTAATCCTGCCGTATATCTAAAATAGATCTCACCGCCCACAGGAGCTGGTCATAAGTGCTGACCCCATAATTCTATCTTTTGTTAAAAAAATTAAAAATCCTACAAAATCCATATCCAGCTGACAGAAGACTCGGGGGAAATTACAGTCCGGAAAAAGGATTAGTCAAAATACCCAGATTGTATGGAAATGCTGGGAGGTTGCTCTGAGGGTGGGCGTTGTGAGAAGGTGAGGGGAAGAGGTGGGCCGGGGCTATGGAGGGGGCAGGACAGTGAGGGAGCTGTGGGTGTGGGGCCTTGGCGACAACCACGGGCCGGGCGGTTCCTGCGGGTGCCGGGTGCCGACAGGAACCTGGCGGTGAGTGATGGAGGAGGCAGTTGTAAAACAGGTTACCGTTGGGCGCCCGGGGTTCACTCCCGCGGATGGTGCTGTTGCTAAGCTACCTTTGGAATTCGACAAGGACGGATGCTCCGAGTGGCTCCCTGGGGCGGGGGACCGGGAAGCAGTGAATTAACTGAAAACGTGGAGAAGTCCTTTCTCCCTGAAGAGGGAGAGAGCGTGGTCTGAGTGTGTGTGTGTGAGTACGCACGCATGCGTGTGCACACACAACCACTTGTACAAACGTGGGACTCTGCTAGAAAGGGGACAGGTGGATTTTAAAAGCCCAAGCTCCTATTCCTGGAGGGAGGGGTGGGCTAGCGACCATCTCCCCCCACTTTGTGGTGAGAAACTGGGACATCATGTGGCGAAGAAAGCTGTAAGGATTTGGGGCAGGGGTTCACAGCGTCCGTGTAGATGGTACGCTCAAGGCGGTGGAACTACCAGGCGAGACCTATAATAATAAAAACTAATACTTACCAAGCACATCCGGGAGCCAGATGCTCTTCTAGGTTCTTGACATGCACTAACCCACCGAATCCTCACCACAACCCTTCGAGGAGGTGCCAGTAATAGCCTCACTCAACAGAAAAGGAAACTGAGGCACAGAGAAGTTAAATAACATGTTCCAGGTCAGAGAGATAAGGAGCAGCAGAGCTGGATTCGAACCCTGGCAGCCTGTCTCCTGTTGGGCCCCTGAAACACACACTATACCACCTTTCATAAGACAGTGTGCTTTGGGCAAATGTTTACAAAATGATGGAAATTTCTCTTTCCTCCCTCATGCAGTGCTTTGCTAGAAGTGGCCTTGAGAGTAAGAGAGGAGGGGCTCTGGGGGAAGATGATGGAGAGGGAGGATAAGATAGTCATGACAGCAGTGGGGATGTAGTGAGAGGCTGCTGTGAGAAGAAAGACCCCCAGGCCGGGCACAATGCTTGGCGCAATGCTTCATACAGGACAGTTCAATTGCACTGGGCCTACAGCGGGCCTCAGGAGATCTGGTCTCTTGGGTTGCTACTGTCACGGTTTTGCTGTGTGGCCTTGGCACGATGTTCTCTGCCTCTGGCCTTGTTTTCCCCATCTTATAATAAAGAGACTTCCTGGGGCCCTCCCACTGCCGACAGACTGTGGTTCAAGGAGAGGGGGTGGGGTTTGGCTCGTGCTGTTGAAATGACAATGGCTAAGTGGATGCAGATGAGAGTGGTGAGCCAGCGGCTGGTTTCTCCCATCTTCTCAGGAAGTGGGTGGCTGGGGAGGCCTTCTCAGAGCCCCAACTGCTGGGCAGACCACAGGGCCGCGGTGCCTGGGACCACCACAGCTGACATTTAGGCAGATGTGTCAGAGTCCTTCCCCATCTCTCTGGGCTTTTCCTGGACCAACGTCCTTCTCCCTGGCCTGGAGGTCTCAGAGAGGTTTGGAGAATCAGGCTGGGACTGGCCTCCAACACACATAGGTTCAAATCCTGGCCAGCCACAAGCCCACTCTATGACTCTGCCCTCTCTGAACCTCAGTTTCCTTGCCTGAAAAGGGAACAATGATTTTTACCTTGCAGTTTAAGGGTTACGTGCTTTATATGGGAATAATGAGAAAACAATAAACAAACAACCAGGCTGCAGGCTGAACACTTTATGTGCTCAGTTTTTTTCTTTAACCCTTTCAGCAACCCTAGAAAGTGGACTCTCTTAGCCCCACTTTTACAGATGAAGAGACTGAGGTCCAGAGAGGTGCAATAACTTGTTTAAGGTAATTTGGTTAATGGGTTGGCAGAACGAGGCCTCAAACTCACCCGTGTCTGGCTTCAAAGCCTGCATTCCTAGCCACCTCGCCATTAGCTATTGCCTTGTCGGCACTGGATCCTCCATCCCCATCCCCTCACCCCGTTCCACCAGCCCCACCATCTCAGAGCCCTGGCTGGGAGTCAGGAGTTCTAGGCTCTGCCACTAGTTTGCTGGGTGACCTTGAGCAAGAACATGAACCTCTCTGAGCTCTATCTGTTAAATCCTTTGCTCAATTGTGGGGATCAACTTCAGACACGTGTATGGAGGGAAAGTAGCCAAGGACCAGGGATGACTGTGTCTGGACCAGAGAAAATCTGGGTTTTCCGCAAGGAAAACCCAAAGGTTTATATCAACACTTTCCTTCCCTCCTTGTCGAGGGTCCTGATCCCTGGGCCTCCAAGCTGAGCCACTTGCTCAGCTTCCCGATTCTCAGACTCATTTAGGCATACAGGAAACTCCAGAGTCGGTCTCCCACCATCTCCGCTGACCAAAACTGCCTGGAAAGCTGCCCGGCCTTAGCAGAAGCCAGAGGACTGTCCCTGGGCTCCGCCCTGCTTGTCATGCCCTACAAGCACCCTCCACCTCAACACCTCAACTGCTGACAAGTCTCTGAGTAAGCCAGGCTCCTTCAGGCCTCCAAATCTTTGCACAGGCTATGCCCTCTTTCCCTTCAGCCTGGTGAACTCCTATTTGTACATCAAAGCCCAGCTCAGGTGTGTTCTCCATGAAGCCAGCCAACAGATACCACTTATTGAATGCCTACGCAGTGCCAGGTGCTGACCTCTGAAGCGCTTTATGCACCAGGGTGTCTCTGCCACTCTGGGGAGCCCCCACATGGCAGAGGCTGGGTCTTACTTGCCTCTGCCTCTCCAGCATCACACCCATGAGGGGCTCAGGGATTGAATGGATGAAGAAAAGTTCCTTCTCGGCTCCTTGTACTCCTAGAGCCACATTAACCAGCCTTTACTCAGAATTTAAGAAACTTTCATTCATTCATTCATTCACATAACAAGCAGTTTGTGAGCAACGTCTGTGCTAGGCACCGGGGATTTAATGGGGAGCAAAACAAACACCATCTACTAGGAAAGACATACATTAACTGCGTAATCAAACAAACACATGCATAATTAAGTGTTATGAAAGGAAGATACTGGGACCCGGAGGGCACATGAGAGGGGGATAGGCACCTATGGGGGGATCTGTCCTAGCCGGGCGTGGTCAGGGCTGGCTTCTCTGAGGAAGTGGCGTTTGAGCGGAGACCTGAGTGTGAGTACAAGGACGGAGCAGTTCAGGAGGAGGAAACAACCCAGGCAAAGGGGCCGCGGCAGGAGAGCGTGGGGCATTGGAGAGACTAACAGGACATCTGAAGAAGGGCAGCGGGGCAGAAACTCAGAGAGAGTATGGCAGGAGATGAGGCCGGAGGAGTCAGATCTTAGTGGGCAATGGGATGGAATTTGGGTTTGACCCCAAGTGCAAGGGAAGATATTGAAGAATTTTAAGCAGAATGGGGAGAGTATGTGTGTGACACGATCAGATGTGCAAACTTGTTTCTACACTCTAGATCCATCTAGCTACCAGATGGACTGGGTTTACCTGTTAGCACTGTCTGCTCTCAGATGCAGAAGCGGTTGGTTTAGAGAAGGGCGTGGGGGTGGCGTAGGGGAGCGGAGGGCAGGATCCTGCTGTCTGCCCCTGGCCAGGGGCCGCTGGGTGGGGGCACCAGGGGCTGGGATTGAGGGCGGCGGGGGAACTGGGGTCCCTTGCATCTACCAGTGGGTGTCTCCGGGGGGCGGGACAGCGGGTGGGGGTCCCACTTTACCTTGCCCACGTACAGGGGCTCGGTGCCCGTGTACTCCTCCACCACGAAGAACTGGTTCCACACCCAGCCGCGCTTCACGCGGCCCGCGCCGGGCGCGTCCTGCCGAGCCCCCGACGGCGCGGGGGTGCCCGCCGCCCACAGGCG